TATCAAAAATAATTATTTATAATTAAAATTTTAGTTTATTTTCTTATAAATTATTTTAAACCTTAATCACATTATATTAAGCTAAATCTCTTAATTGTTGTGTATTATAAAACGAAAGAATAATGAAGAAGACGAGAAGAAAAGAGTAATATTATAATATCTTCTAATTTTATCACGCCGGAAACAATCTTTGCTCTCAAATATTCTATTATGTAATAATTTTTCAAAAAAATGTAGATTAAAGATGAGAAAAACTATTTTAATGTGATTTTCTGTGTCATAGCAATATATAACGTGATAAGAACAAAGTGTTAGTTATTGTTCAAAATTAAGTGTAGTTTTAAAACTTCTTGCTTCTAAAAAAAGTTTGTTAAAATCAAGAAAAGTTTGTAAAAATCAAAATTAATAAAATTTTTACGATCAACTATTTGTTATTCTATGTGTATATTACTCTATAGAAAAATTATAATCAATTATTTATCCTATGATTCCTCTATATATATTCCTTACATCATTTTGAATTAAATTTCAAAATAAGCTTATAAAATATTTATTGAATAAGCTTCTAAAAATTTCTATACATATAATTCAATCTCGAAAAATTGTTGCATCTCACGCAATAAGCTCTCCACAGTTACTTCGCATTGTTAGATATTGTACGTTGAAAAATCGAGAAAGTTTGAAAAAATAAACAATTGAAACGTATTTAATATGCCTCTCGAAAAGATGCTTGGAGAGAAGTTTTAAAATAATATATCTAATCGTTCTCTTTTAAAAATCGAAGAATAAACTTATATTAATGGATATAGAGAGATAAGTGAGTCTTCAGAAATTGAATTTTTTTTATTTTCTAAGGAATTTATTTTTAAATAAATTATCGTAAATTATAATTATTTTAATACAAATACGAAAAAGATGTAAATAAAACAATAATAAAATTTTTAATCCAAAAAATTTTAAAACAATATCTTATTTGTTCAAAGAATTATTCTAGCTATTAATTAAGTGGACATACATAAAGATTGCTTTCTTAAAAAAGCTCTGATAATTAATTAATTTATGAAATATAGTAACAAAATATTTTTTGTTAAAATTATATAGTATTATAATATAAGCCGCGTTCATTTTCAATTCAATGATTTGTGCATTGTAATAAAAGTAATATGTATTTGATGCAATTTGATAAGTAAGAAATTTATTAAGTGAATAAAATAATATATCTCTTTAACATAGGGTTATGTAGTACACAGAGGAATATATTATACTTCTCGATTAATGTATTTCGCACTTTTCCTCTCTTTTCGATGTGGTATTTATCATATCTGGTTTGATAGAAGTAATTGTTGCTAATTTACAGATTCATAGACAGATCTAACTTGCAGAGATGAATAATTTTTAATATTCATATTTAGTGTAACTTTTATAATTATTTATTCTTTTTTGAAATCTTCTTATTATTAATTCTTTTAAATAGTGAAATTATCAGCAGTGAATAAGCAACTAAGCACAAGATTTGTTAGGCAGACTTAGATTGAATATCGATATTTACATTTATAAAAAAACATATTTTTACGACCTCTTTCTGTTTCCTTTATTATCTTCTATGTTTTTCGTTGAAATTATTCTTCGTTCGAATTTAGTCAAATACAGTCTCTGATACAAAACGAATATTATGACTACCAGCTACGTATGGTCGTATTATACAAAATACGATACAGTTGCAAAGTGCAATTTTTGTGAGAAAGATTATTCTCTTAAGTTAAACGATGGCAATATGAGGAGACACATACACAAAAAACATAGTGGTATTTATAACAATATTATCCGTTTCAGTGTCAAGCAACGCGATCGCACTTTTTCTGTTCAGTGCTTAATGGTGTCAGCGCATCAATTTGAAAATTCACAATAATTGGACGTTCGGGTTTTGTCGGTGCGTTTCTTTACTGTTACCGTTTGGTCATAGACAAATTAAGACAAAATTGAAGTAATATAACACTCTGCAAGTGTATATTTTTTAAATATTATGAACCAGGCTGACCGCTTAACTTTTTTCGATTCAAAATTAGACAAGCGCTATCGCGCCGTTTGACATTTGTCGATCGAGTTTCTACAAAAAATCTGTGGCATTCGAACGACACTTAAACCAAATATTTCGAAACTAGGTGTAACTCAAAACGCCTATGAAGTGATACAAGGCAATAGATTACAATGTAAGAAATGTGAGGCAACATATAGTAAACGTTACAAAATGACACACAAAATGAAATTACATTTACATAATATACATGGAATTTATGAATATAAAGCGCAAGAACATAAAAACTGGATAATAGAATATAGTAGAAATAATGAAAATATTATTACACTAAATCTTGATAAAACAATAACGTGCCGACGTTGCAATAAAGTTTTTCCAAAGAATTTTGTCAAATTAATGAAACATTTGTACAATGATCATCAAGTCGAGGAGATACCTGAGGAATTCAAATAAACGGGGTAAGAGAGAAACGGCGATAAATCGAATATTATTATTTTATCTTTTTCGTTCCCTAGTCATATACATTTTTGTGTACATAATGAATAAAATTATATATAATAAGTAAAGTCATCAAATTCAACATATTTAATATATCTTTATTACAAAGATAATGAATATCGGCCTATTAGCCCAAAAAAATCAAACAGGTTAAGAAAGTTTTTTACGTTCTAGGCAAAGTGCTATAGACATTCCTAAAAGCAGCTACAAACAACTAATACGCAATTTTTATCAATTTGGCAATGTAAATGACTGTACATCACTATATCTTGGAGATTCTGTGTTAAACAGCTCTCAGTCAACGGATTTTGATAACATTGCTGAATATGATGATCCTTCCGATCTCGAAGATATATATAAAGATATTGAATTATTGACCAGTTCTCAGTCAACGGATTTTGATAAAATTGCTGAATATGATGGTCCTACTGAACTCGAAAATGTATTTAAAAATAAGGAAATAGAAAAATTTTACGCTTTGATGAATAATAATTTGCTTTTTGACGTAACATTAAGTAATACAACACGAAATTATAATTACAATACATGTACAGTTTGACAAATATATTATGTATTTATTATGTATTTATCGAACATCGACAAGGATATATTTTCGGCTATTTTCCACACTATTAATATCTATTAAAAATTTATTACATGATATTATATTTATCATCTCTCAGATATTACATATGTGATCTGTTATTGATTTCGAAAATAATTTTTTAAAAGAATTTGGTACACGTACATACATATATATATATATATATATATATATATATATATATGTACATACATTCATATACACATATATATGAGACATATTTTTTTCATACTATTTGTATAGAAAAATTTATTACATAATATTGTATATAACAAATATTACATATGTTATGATTTTTACATCTAATTTACATTGATTTTGAAGATAAGTTTTTAAAAGAAATCAATTATGTATCAAAAATAATTATTTATAATTAAAATTTTAATTTATTTTCTTACAAATTATTTTAAATTCTTATCTCATTATTTTAAGCTAAATCTCTTAATCATTATGTATTATATAACGAAAGAATAATGAAGAAGATGAAAAGAAAAGAATAATATTATAATATCTTATAATTTTTTCACGCCGGAAACAATGTTTGCTCTCAAATATTCTATTATGTAATAATTTTTCAAAAAAATGTAGATTAAAGATGAGAAAAACAATTTTAATGTGATTTTCTGTGTCATAGCAATATATAACGTGACAAAGTGTTAGTTATTGTTCAAAATTAAGTGCAGTTTTAAAACTTCTTGCTTCTAAAAAAAGTTTGTTAAAATCAAAAAAAGTTTGTAAAAATCAAAATTAATAAAATTTTTACGATCAACTATTTGCTATTATTCTATGTGTTTATTACTGTATAGAAAAATTATAATCAATTGTTTATCCTATGATTCCTCAATATATATTGCTTACATCATTTTGAATTAAATTTCAAATTGAATAAGCTTATAAAAATTTCTACATAATTCAATCTCGAAAAATTGTTGCATCGCACGTAAGTTTTAAAATAATATATCTAACCGTTCTTTTAAAAACCGAAGAATAAACTTATATTAATGGATATAGAGAGATAAGTGAGTCTTCAGAAATTGAATTTTTTTAAGTTTCTAAGAAATTTATTTTTTAAATAAATTATCGTAAATTATAATTATTTTAATACAAATACGAAAAAGATGTAAATAAAACAAAAATAAAATTTTTAATCCAAAAAATTTTGAAAGAACAACTTATTTGTTCAAAGAATTATTCTAGCTATTAATTAAGTGGACATACATAAAGATTGCTTTCTTACAAAAGCTCTAATAATTAATTAATTTATTAAATATAGTAACAAAATATTTTTTGTTAAAATTATATAGTATTATAATATAAGCCGCGTTCATTTTCAATTCAATGATTTGAGCATTGTACTAAAAGTAATATGTATATGATGCAATTTGATAAGTAAGAAATTTATTAAGTGAATAAAATAATATATCTCTTTAACATATGGTTATTGTAGTACACAGAGGAATATATTATAGTATACTTTTCGATTAATGTATTTCGCACTTTTCCTCTATTATCGATGTGGTAATTTATCATATCTAGTTTGATAGAAGTAATTGTTGCTAATTCACAGATTCATAGACAGATCTAACTTGCAGAGATGAATAACTTTTAATATTCATATTTAGTGTAACATTTATAATTATTTATCCTTTTTTGAAATCTTCTTATTATTTATTCTATTAAATAGTGAGATTATCAGCAGTGAATAAGCAACTAAGCACAAGATTTGTTAGGCAGACTTAGATTGAATATCGATATTTACATTTATACAAAAACATATTTTCACGACCTCTTTCTGTTTCCTTTATTATCTTCTATGTTTTTCGTTGAAATTATTCTTCGTTCGAATTTAGTCAAATACAGTCTCTGATACAAAACGAATATTATGGCTACCAACTACGTATGGTCGTATTATACAAAATACGATGCAGTTGCAAAGTGCAATTTTTGTGAGAAAGATTATTCCCTTAAGTTAAAGGATGGCAATATGAGGAAACACATATCCAAAAAACATAGTGGTATTTATAACAATATTATCCGTTTCAGTATCAAGCAACGCGATCGCGCTTTTTCTGTTCAGTGCTTAATGGTGTCAGCGCATCAATTTGAAAATTCACAATAATTGGACGTTCGGTTTTTGTCGGTGCGTTTCTTTACTGTTACCGTTTGGTCATAGACAAATTAAGACAAAATTGAAGTAATATAACACTCTGCAAGTGTATATTTTTTAAATATTATGAACAAGGCTGACCGCTTAACTTTTTTCGATCCCAAATTAAACAAGCGCTATCGCGCCGTTTGACATTTGTCGATCGAGTTTCTACAAAAAATCTGTGGCACTCGAACGACACTTAAACCAAATATTTCTAAACTAGGTGTAACTCAAAACGCCTATAAAGTAATACAAGGCAATAAATTACAATGTAAGAAATGTGAGGCAACATATAAGAAACGTTACAAAATAATACCCAAAATGAAATTACATTTACGTACTAAACATGGAATTCATGAATATAAAGCACAAGAACATAAAAACTGGATAATAGAATATAGTAGAAATAATGAAAATATTATTACACTAAATCTTGATAAAACAATAACGTGCCGACGTTGCAATAAAGTTTTTCCAAAGAATTTTGTCAAATTAATGAAACATTTGTACAATGATCATCAAGTCGAGGAGATACCTGAGGAATTCAAATAAACGGGGTAAGAGAGAAACGGCGATAAATCGAATATTATTATTTTATCTTTTTCGTTCCCTAGTCATATATATTTTTGTGTACATAATGAATAAAATTATATATAATAAGTAAAATCATCAAATTCAATATATTTAATATATCTTTATTACAAAGATAATCAATATCGGCCTATTAGCCCAAAAAAATCAAACAGGTTAAGAAAGTTTTTTACGTTCTAGGCAAAATGCTATAGACATTCCTAAAAGCAGCTACAAACAACTAATACGCAATTTTTATCAATTTGGCAATGTAAATGACTGTACATCACTATATCATGGAGATTCTGTGTTAAACAGCTCTCAGTCAACGGATTTTGATAACATTGCTGAATATGATGACCCTTCCGATCTCGAAGATATATATAAAGATATTGAATTATTGATCAGTTCTCAGTCAACGGATTTTGATAAAATTGCTGAATATGATGGTCCTACTGAACTCGAAAATGTATTTAAAAGTAAGGAAATAGAAAAATTTTACGCTTTGATGAATAATAATTTGCTTTTTGACGTAACATTAAGTAATACAACACGAAATTATAATTACAATACATGTACAGTTTGACAAATATATTGTGTATTTATTATGTATTTATCGAACATCGACAAGGATATATTTTCGGCTATTTTCCACACTATTAATATCTATTAAAAATTTATTACATGATATTATATTTATCATCTCTCAGATATTACATATGTGATCTGTTATTGATTTCGAAAATAATTTTTTAAAAGAATTTGGTACACGTACATACATATGTACATACACATATATATATATATATATATATATATATATATATATATATACATACATACATATATATGCATACATACATATACACATATATATGAGACATATTTTTTTCATACTATTTGTATAGAAAAATTTATTACATAATATTGTATATAACAAATATTACATATGTCATGATTTTTACATCTAATTTACATTGATTTTGAGGATAAGTTTTTAAAAGAAATCAATTATGTATCAAAAATAATTATTTATAATTAAAATTTTAATTTATTTTCTTACAAATTATTTTAAATTGTTATCTCATTATTTTAAGCTAAATCTTTAATCATTATGTATTATATAACGAAAGAATAATGAAGAAGATGAAAAGAAAAGAGTAATATTATAATATCTTCTAATTTTTTCACGCCGGAAACAATCTTTGCTTTCAAATATTCTATTATGTAATAATTTTTCAAAAAAATGTAGATTAAAGATGAGAAAAACTATTTTAATGTGATTTTCTGTGTCATAGCAATATATAACGTGATAAGAACAAAGTGTTAGTTATTGTTCCAAATTAAGTGTAGTTTTAAAACTTCTTGCTTCTAAAAAAAATTTGTTAAAATCAAAAAAAGTTTGTAAAAATCAAAATTAATAAAATTTTTACGATCAACTATTTGATATTATTCTATGTGTTTATTACTGTATAGAAAAATTATAATCAATTGTTTATCCTATGATTCCTCTATATATATTCGTTACATCATTTTGAATTAAATTTCAAATTGAATATGCTTCTAAAAATTTCTATACATATAATTCAATCTCGAAAAATTGTTGAATCTCACGCAATAAGCTCTCCACAGTTACTTCGCATTGTTAGATATTGTACTCTGAAAAATCGAGAAAGTTTGAAAAAATAAACAATTAAAACGTATTTAATATGCCTCTGGAAAAGATGCTTGGAGAGAAGTTTTAAAATAATATATCTAATCATTCTTTTAAAAATCGACGAATAAACTTATATTAATGAATATAGAGAGATAAGTGAGTCTTCACAAATTGAATTTTTTTTATTTTCTAATGAATTTATTTTTAAATAAATTATCGTAAATTATAATTATTTTAATACAAATACGAAAAAGATGTACAACAATAAAAACATTTTTAATGCAAAAAATTTCAAAACAATAACTTATTTGTTCAAAGAATTATTCTAGCTATTAATTAAGTAGACATACATAAAGATTGCTTTCTTACAAAAGCTCTAATAATTAATTAATTTATTAAATATAGTAACAAAACATTTTTTGTTAATATTATATAGTATTATAATATAAGCCGCGTTCGTTTTCAATTCAATGATTTGTGCATTGTAATAAAAGTAATATGTATTTGATGCAATTTGATAAGTAAGAAATTTATTAAGTGAATAAAATAATATATCTCTTTAACATAGGGTTATTGTCGTACACAGAGGAATATATTATACTTTTCGATTAATGTATTTCGCACTTTTCCTCTCTTATCGATGTGATAATTTAACATATCTAGTTTGATAGAAATAATTGTTGCTAATTCACAGATTCATAGACAGATCTAACTTGCAGAGAAGAATAATTTTTAATATTCATATTTAGTGTAACATTTATAATTATTTTTCATTTTTTGAAATCTTCTTATTATTTATTCTATTAAATAGTGAGGTTATCAGCAGTGAATAAGCACCTAAGCACAAGATTTGTTAGGCAGACTTAGATTGAATATCGATATTTACATTTATACAAAAACATATTTTCACGACCTCTTTCTGTTTCCTTTATTATCTTCTATGTTTTTCGTTGAAATTATTCTTCGTTCGAATTTAGTCAAATACAGTCTCTCATACAAAACGAATATTATGGCTACCAGCTACGTATGGTCGTATTATACAAAATACGATACAGTTGCAAAGTGCAATTTTTGTAAGAAATATTCTCCTCTTAAGTTAAACGATAGAAATATGAGAAATCACATATACAAAAAACATAGAGGTACTTATAACAATATTATCCGTTTCAGTGTCAAGCAACGCGATCGCGCTTTTTCTGTTCAGTGTTTAATGGTGTCAGCGCATCAATTTGAAAATTCACAATAATTGGACGTTCGGTTTTTGTCGGTGCGTTTCTTTACTGTTACCGTTTGGTCATAGACAAATTAAGACAAAATTGAAGTAATATAACACTCTGCAAGTGTATATTTTTTAAATATTATGAACAAGGCTGATCGCTTAACTTTTTTCCATTCAAAATTAGACAAGCGCTATCGCGCCGTTTGACATTTGTCGATCGAGTTTCTACAAAAAATCTGTGGCACTCGAACGACACTTAAACCAAATATTTCGAAACTAGGTGTAACTGAAAACGCCTATAAAATAATACAAGGCAATAAATTACAATGTGAGAAATGTGAGGCAACATATAAGAAACGTTATCAAATAACACCCAAAATAAAATTACATTTACGTACTAAACATGGAATTCATGAATATAAAGCGCAAGAACATAAAAACTGGATAATAGAATATAGTAGAAATAATGAAAATATTATTACACTAAATCTTGATAAAACAATAACGTGCCGACGTTGCAATAAAATTTTTCCAAAGAATTTTGTCAAATTAATGAGACATTTGTACAATGATCATCAAGTCGAGGAGATACCTGAGGAATTCAAATAAACTGGGTAAGAAAGAAACGGCGATAAATCGAATATTATTATTTTATCTTTTTCGTTCCCTAGTCATATATATTTTTGTGTACATAATGAATAAAATTATATATAATAAGTAAAATCATCAAATTCAACATATTTAATATATCTTTATTACAAAGATAATGAATATCGGCCTATTAGCCCAAAAAAATCAAACAGGTTAACAAACAGTTTTTTACGTTCTAGGCAAAATGCTATAGATATTCCTAAAAACAGCTACAAACAACTAATACGCAATTTTTATCAATTTGGCAATGTAAATGACTGTACATCACTATATCTTGGAGATTCTGTGTTAAACAGCTCTCAATCAACGGATTTTGATAACATTGCTGAATATGATGACCCTTCCGATCTCGAAGATATATATAAAGATATTGAATTATTGATCAGTTCTCAGTCAACGGATTTTGGTAAAATTGCTGAATATGATGGTCCTACTGAACTCGAAAATGTATTTAAAAGTGAGGAAATGGAAAAATTTTACGCTTTGATGAATAATAATTTGCTTTTTGACGTAACATTAAGTAATACAACACGAAATTATAATTACAATACATGTACAGTTTGACAAATATATTGTGTATTTATTATGTATTTATCGAACATCGACAAGGATATATTTTCGGCTATTTTCCACACTATCTATTAAAAATTTATTACATGATATTATATTTATCATCTCTCAGATATTACATATGTGATCTGTTATTGATTTCGAAAATAATTTTTTAAAAGAATTTGGTACACGTACATACATATGTACATACATATATATAAATATATATATATATATATATATACATACATACATATATATGCATACATACATATACACATATAAATGAGACATATTTTTTTCATACTATTTGTATAGAAAAATTTATTACATAATATTGTATATAACAAATATTACATATGTCATGATTTTTACATCTAATTTACATTGATTTTGAGGATAAGTTTTTAAAAGAAATCAATTATGTATCAAAAATAATTATTTATAATTAAAATTTTAATTTATTTTCTTACAAATTATTTTAAATTCTTATCTCATTATTTTAAGCTAAATCTCTTAATCATTATGTATTATATAACGAAAGAATAATGAAGAAGATGAAAAGAAAAGAGTAATATTATAATATCTTCTAATTTTTTCACGCCGGAAACAATCTTTGCTCTCAAATATTCTATTATGTAATAATTTTTCAAAAAAATGTAGATTAAAGATGAGAAAAACTATTTTAATGTGATTTTCTGTGTCATAGCAATATATAACGTGATAAGAACAAAGTGTTGGTTATTGTTCCAAATTAAGTGTAGTTTTAAAACTTCTTGCTTCTAAAAAAAATTTGTTAAAATCAAAAAAAGTTTGTAAAAATCAAAATTAATAAAATTTTTACGATCAACTATTTACTATTATTCTATGTGTTTATTACTGTATAGAAAAATTATAATCAATTGTTTATCCTATGATTCCTCAATATATATTGCTTACATCATTTTGAATTAAATTTCAAATTGAATAAGCTTATAAAAATTTCTACATAATTCAATCTCGAAAAATTGTTGCATCGCACGTAAGTTTTAAAATAATATATCTAACCGTTCTTTTAAAAACCGTAGAATAAACTTATATTAATGGATATAGAGAGATAAGTGAGTCTTCAGAAATTGAATTTTTTTAAGTTTCTAAGAAATTTATTTTTAAATAAATTATCGTAAATTATAATTATTTTAATACAAATACGAAAAAGATGTAAATAAAACAAAAATAAAATTTTTAATCCAAAAAATTTTGAAAGAACAACTTATTTGTTCAAAGAATTATTCTAGCTATTAATTAAGTGGACATACATAAAGATTGCTTTCTTACAAAAGCTCTAATAATTAATTAATTTATTAAATATAGTAACAAAATATTTTTTGTTAAAATTATATAGTATTATAATATAAGCCGCGTTCATTTTCAATTCAATGATTTGAGCATTGTACTAAAAGTAATATGTATATGATGCAATTTGATAAGTAAGAAATTTATTAAGTGAATAAAATAATATATCTCTTTAACATAGGGTTATTGTAGTACACCGAAGAATATATTATACTCCTCGATTAATATATTTCGCACTTTTCCTCTCTTATCGAGTGATATCTAGTTTGATAGAAGTAATTGTTGATATCTAGTTTGATAGAAGTAATTGTTGCTAATTCACAGATTCATAGACAGATCTAACTTGCAGAGATGAATAATTTTTAATATTCATATTTAGTGTAACATTTATAATTATTTATCCTTTTTTGAAATCTTCTTATTATTTATTCTATTAAATAGTGAGATTATCAGCAGTGAATAAGCAACTAAGCACAAAATTTGTTAGGCAGACTTAGATTGAATATTGATATTTACATTTATATAAAAACATATTTTCACGACCTCTTTCTGTTTCCTTTATTATCTTCTATGTTTTTCGTTGAAATTATTCTTCGTTCGAATTTAGTCAAATACAGTCTCTGATACAAAACGAATATTATGGCGTGCTATGTATGGCCGTATTATACAAAATACGATACAGTTGCAATGTGCAATTTTTGTGAGAAAAATTATTCTCTTAAGCCAATCTATTCCAATATAAGAACACACATATCCAGGAGACATAGAGGTATTTATATCATTATTATCCGTTTCAGTGTCAAGCGACGCGATCGCGTTTTTTCTGTTCAGTGCTTAATGGTGTCAGCGCATCAATTTGAAAATTCATAATAATTGGACGTTCGGTTTTTGTCGGTGCATGTCTTTACTGTTACCGTTTGGTCACAGACAATTTAAGACGAAATTGAATTAATATAACACTCTGCAAGTGTACATTTTTTAAATATTATAAACAAGGCTGGCTGCTTAGCTTTTTTCGACTCAAAATTAAACAAGCGCTATCGCGCCGTTTGACATTTGTCGATCGAGTTTCTACAAAAAGTCTGTGCACTCGAACGACACTTAAACCAAATATTTCGAAACTAGGTGTAAGTCAAGACGCCTATAAAGTAATACAAGGCAATAAACTACAATGTGAGAAATGTAAGAAAATATATAATAAACGTTACAAAATTACATCCTACATAAAATTACATTTACATACTAAACATGGAATTGATCAAAATAAAGAGGAAGAACATAAAAACTGGATAATAGAATATAGTAGAAATAATGAGAATATTATTAAACTAAACCTTGATAAAACAATAACGTGCCGACGTTGCAGAAAAGTTTTTCCAAGGAATTATGTCGATTTAATGAGACATTTGTACACTGATCATCAAGTCGAGGAAATACCTGAGGAATTCAAATAAACGTGGTAAGAGAGAAACGGCGATAAATCGAATATTATTATTTTATCTTTTTCGTTCCCTATTCATATATATTTTTGTGTACATAATGAATAAAATTATATATAATAAGTAAAATCATCAAATTCAACATATTTAATATATCTTTATTATAAAGATTATGAATATCGGCCCAAAAAATCAAATAGGTTAAGAAAGTTTTTTACGTTTTAGGCAAAGTGCTACAGACATTCCTAAAAGCAGCTACAAACAACTAATACGCAATTTTTAACAATTTGGCAATGTAAATGACTGTATATCACTATATCTTGGAGATTCTGTGTTAAACAGCTCTCAGTCAACGGATTTTGATAACATTGTTGAATACGATGACCCTTCCGATCTCGAAGATATATGTAGAGATATATATTGAAGATATATATTGAAGATATATATTGAAGAAGATATATATTGAATTATTGATCAGTTCTCAGTCAACGGATTTTGATAAAATTGCTGAATATGATGGTCCTACTGAACACGAAAATATATTTAAAAGTAAAGAAATGGAAAAATTTTACGCTTTGATGAATAATAATTTGCTTTTTGACGTAACATTAAGTAATACAACAGGAAATTATAATTACAATACATGTACAGTTTGACAAATATATTGTGTACTTATTATGTATTTGTCGAACATCGACAAGGTTATATTTTCGGCTATTTTCCACACTATTAATATCTATTAAAAATTTATTACATGATATTATATTTATCATCTCTCAGATATTACATATGTGATCTGTTATTGATTTCGAAAATAATTTTTTAAAAGAATTCGGTACACTTACATACATATGTACATACATAGATATATATATATATATATATATATATATTATATATATATATATATATATATATATATATATATACATACATACATATACACATATATATGAGACATATTTTTTCATACTATTTGTATAGAAAAATTTATTACATAATATTGTGTATAACAAATATTACATATGTCATGATTTTTACATCTAATTTACATTGATTTTAAGGGTAAGTTTTTTAAAGAAATCAATTATGTATCAAAAATAATTATTTATAATTAAAATTTTAATTTATTTTCTTGCAAATTATTTTAAATGTTTATCTCAATATTTTAAGCTAAACCTCTTAATTGTTATGTATTATGTAACGAAAGAATAAGATGAGAAGATGAGAAGAAAAGAGTAATTTTATAATTTCTTATAATTTTTTTACGCCGGAAACAATCTTAGCTCTTAAATATTTTGTTATGTACGAATTTTTCAAAAAAATGTAGATTAAATATGAGAAAAATTATTTTAATTTGATTTTCTGTCATAGCAATATATAAAGTGATAAGAACAGAATGTCATTTATTGTACAAAATTAAGTAGTTTTAAAACTTCGTGTTTCTAAAAACAGTTTAGCGTAAAAATCAATATTAATAAAATTTTTATGATCAACTATTTGTTATTCTATGTGCTTATTACACTATAGAAAAATTATAATCAATTGTTCATCCTATGATTCCTCTATTTATGTTCCTTACATCAATTTTAAATTATATTTCAAATTGAACAGACTTATCAAAATTTCTATATCAATCTCGATAAATTTTTGCATTCCATCCTGCATCTCACGCAATAAGCTATCCACAGTTACTTCGCATTGTTAGCTATTGTACGCTGTAAAATCGAGAGTCTTAAAAAATAAGCAATTGAAACGTATTTAATATGCCACTCGAAAAGATGTTTGGCAAGAAATTTTAAAGTAATGTTTCTAATCATTCTTTTAAAAATCGAGGAATAAACTTATTTTAATGGGTATAGAGAGATAAGTGAGCCTTTGAAAAGTGAATCATTTCTAAGTTCCTAAGGTATTTATTTTTAAATAAATAAATTATCCTGAATAATAATTATTTTAGTTAGAATAAAAAAGATTTAAAAAGAACAATGATAAAATTTTCAATTCAAAAAGTTTTAAAACAATAACTCATTTGTTAGAATAATTATTCTAGCTATTAATTAAGTGAACATAAAGCTACATAAAGCTTGCTTGCTTACAAAAGATTTGATAATTAATTTATTAAATACAGTAACAAAATATTTTTTTTAAATATTATAACATAAGCCGCATTTGTTTCCAATTCAATGATTTGTGCATTGATTATAATAAAAGTAATACGTATTTGATGCAATTTGATAAATAAGAAATTTATTAAGTAAATAAGATAATATATCTCTTTAACATAAGGTTATTGTAATACACAGAGGAATATATTATACTCCTCGATTAATCGTATTTCGCACTTTTCCTCTCTTATCGATGTGATAATTTATCATATCTAGTTTGATAGAAGTAATTGTTGCTAATTCACAGATTCATAGACAGATCTAACTTGCAGAGATGAATAATTTTTAATATTCATATTTAGTGTAACATTTATAATTATTTATTCTTTTTCAAAATCTTCCTATAAGCAGTTTAATCAGCAGTGAACAAACACAAGATGTATCAATATTTACATTTATACAAAGATTTTTTCGCGACCTTTCTCTATTTCTTTTATTAACTGTTATATCTTTCGTTGAAAGTATTCTTCGTTTGAATTTAGTCATATAGAGTCTCTGATACAAAACGAATATTATGTCTTCCTATGTATGGCCGTATTATACAAAAGAAAATACAGGTGCAAGGTGCAATTTTTGTAAAAAATATTGTTCTCTTTACCCATCCTATTCCAATATAAGAAGTCACATAAAGAAGAAACATAAAGATGAAGGTATTTATAACATTATTATCCGTTTCAGTGTCAAGCGACGGGATCGCACTTCTTCTATTCAGTGCTTAAAAATACTAGCGCATCAATTTGTAAATTCACAATAATTACACGATCGGTTTTTGTCGATGCGTGTCTATATTGTTATTGTTTGGTCATGGACAAATTACGGCGAAATTGAAGTAATATAACACTCTGCAAGTGTACATTTTTTAAATATTATAAACAAGGATGGCGGCTTAGCTTTTTTCGAATTCGAACTCAGAATTAGATAAGCGCTATCGCGCCGCTTGGCATTTTTCGATCGAGTTCCTACAAAAAATCTGTGGCATTCAAACGGCACTTAAACCAAATATTTCCAAACTAGGAGTAAGCGAATATTACTTTAATGTAATACAAGACAAAATAGAATGTGAAACTTGTCATAAAATATATGATAAGCATTACATCGTTGCATACATAATGAGACAACATTTATTAATTGAACATAGAATTGATAAAAATATAGCGATGGAACATAAAAACTGGATAAAAAATAGTAAGGATGTTACATTAAATCCGGATGGTACAATAACGTGCCGACATTGCAAAGAAGTTTGTCCAAGGAATTATGTCTATTTAATGGAACATTTGATCACTCATGATGAAGTCAATGAATTTTTGGCAATTATGTAAACGGGGTAAGAGAGAAACGGCGATAAATCGAATATTATTATCTCTTTTCATTCTCTTATTCACATATATATTTTTGTGTACATAATGAATAAAATTATATATAATAGGTAAAATCATAAAATTCAAGATATTTAATATATCTTTACACCAAGATTACGAATATTAAGATCAAACAGGTTAACAAACAGTTTTTTACGTTCTAGGCAAAATGCTATAGATATTCCTAAAAATATCTACAAATAACTAATACGCAATTTTTATCAATTTGGCAATGTAAATGACTATATATCACTATATCTTGGAGATTCTGAGTTAAACAGCTCTCAGTCAACGAATTTTGAACATTGCTGAATATGATGGCCCTACTGAATTCAAAAATATATTTAAAAGTAAGGACATGAAAAAATTTTACGCTTTGATAAGTAATAATTTGCTTTTTGACGTAACAATAAGTAATATAATACGAAATTATAATTATAATACATGTACAGCTTTACAAATATATTGTTTATTTATCTTATATTTATCAAACATCGACAAAGATATGTTTTCGGCCATTCTCCATAGTATTAATATTTATTAAAAAAATTTATTACATAATATATTTTACATCTCTCAGATATTACATCATGATATGTTACTGACTTCGAAAATAATTTTTTAAAAGAATTCGGTACACTTACATACATATGTACATACATATATATATATATATATATATATATATATATATATACATACATACATATACACATATATATGAGACATATTTTTTTCATACTATTTGTATAGAAAAATTTATTACATAATATTGTATATAACAGATATTACATATGTCATTCATTTTTACACCTGTCATTGACCTTGGAAGTAAATTTTTACAAAAAATTAATTATAAATAAAAAATAATTATTTATAATTATTTAGAATTTTATTTTCAAGTTTTTAAGCCTTAATCTCATTATTTTAAGTTAAATCTCTTAATTGTTGTGTATTATAAAACAAAAGAATAATGAAGAAGAAAATGATAAGATAATAAGAAGAAAAGAGTAATTTTATAATTACTTGTAATTTTTCACGTCGGAAACAATTTTAGCTTTAAAATATTACATTATGTAATAATTTTTCAAAAAATTTAGCTTAAAGATAAAAAAAATTATTTTAATGCCATTTTCTATGTCATAACAATGTATAACGTGATAAGAACAAAGTGTTAGTTATTATTCAAAATTAATTATAGCCTTAAAACTTCTTGCCTCCAAAAGAAGTTTGTTGTAAGAATCAAAATTAATAAAATTTTTACTATTTGTCAAATATTTGTTATTCTATGTGCTTATTACTCTATAGAAAAATTATAATCAATTGTTTATCCTATGATTCCTCTATATATATTCCTTACATCATTTTGAATTAAATTTCAAAATAAGCTTATAAAATATTTATTGAATAAGCTTCTAAAAATTTCTATATATATAATTCAATCTCGAAAAATTCTTGCATCTCACGCAATAAGCTCTCCACAGTTACTTCGCATTGTTAGATATTGTACGCTGAAAAATCGAGAAAGTTTGAAAAAATAAATAATTGAAACGTATTTAATATACCTCTCGAAAAGATACTTGGAGAGAAGTTTTAAAATAATATATCTAATCGTTCTTATAAAAATCGAAGAATAAACTTATATTAACGGATATAGAGAGATAAGTGAGTCTTCAGAAATTGAATTTTTTTTATTTTCTAATAAATTTATTTTTAAATAAATTATCGTAAATTATAATTATTTTAATACAAATACGAAAAAGATGTACAACAATAAAAAAATTTTTAATGCAAAAAATTTCAAAACAATAACTTATTTGTTCAAAGAATTATTCTAGCTATTAATTAAGTAGACATACATAAAGATTGCTTTCTTACAAAAGCTCTAATAATTAATTAATTTATTAAATATAGTAACAAAACATTTTTTGTTAATATTATATAGTATTATAATATAAGCCGCGTTCGTTTTCAATTCAATGATTTGTGCATTGTAATAAAAGTAATATGTATTTGATGCAATTTGATAAGTAAGAAATTTATTAAGTGAATAAAATAATATATCTCTTTAACATAGGGTTATTGTCGTACACAGAGGAATATATTATACTCCTCGATTAATGTATTTCGCACTTTTCCTCTCTTATCGATGTGATAATTTAACATATCTAGTTTGATAGAAATAATTGTTGCTAATTCACAGATTCATAGACAGATCTAACTTGCAGAGATGAATAATTTTTAATATTCATATTTAGTGTAACATTTATAATTATTTATCCTTTTTTGAAATCTTCTTATTATTTATTCTTTTAAATAGTGAGATTATCAGCAGTGAATAAGCAACTAAGCACAAGATTTGTTAGGCAGACTTAGATTGTATATTTACATTTATATAAAAACATATTTTCACGACCTCTTTCTGTTTTCTTTATTAACTTCTATGTTTTTCGTTGAAATTATTCTTCGTTCGAATTTAGTCAAATACAGTCTGTGATACAAAACGAGTATTATGGCGAGCTATGTATGGTCATATTATACAAAACTCCACACAGGTGCAGGTATAGGTGCGAAATGCAATTTTTGTGGGAAATATTATTCTCCTACGCCAAACTATTTCAATATATTCAGAAGACATACAGGTATTTATATCCGGAGACATAGAGGTATTTATATCATTATTATCCGTTTCAGTGTCAAGCGACGCGATCGCGCTTTTTCTGTTCAGTGCTTAATGGTGTCAGCGCATCAATTTGAAAATTCACAATAATTTCAGTTTTTGTCGGTGCGTGTCTTTACTGTTACCGTTTGATCATAGACAAATTAAGACAAAATTGAAGTAATATAAGACTCTGCAAGTGTACATTTTTTAAATATTATAACACAAGGCTGGCTGCTTAACTTTTTTCGATTCAAAATTAGACAAGCACTATCGCGCCGCTTGGCATTTTTCGATCGAGTTTCTACAAAAAGTATGTGGCACTCAAACGCCACTTAAACCAAATATTTCCAAACTAGGTGTAAGCCAAACCTCCTATAAAGTAATACAAGATAATAAAATAGAATGTAAATGGTAAATGTGAGAAAATATATAATAAATGTTACAAAATTACAGGCCCAATGAGATCACATTTAAGTATTGAACATGGAATTGATAGAAATAAAGCGAGAGAACATGAAAACTGGTTATTAGACTTTAGTAATATAAATAATATTAGACTAAATTGGAATGATACAATAACGTGTCGACGTTGCAATAAAGTTTTTCCAAGGAATTTTGTCTATTTAATGCGCCATTTGTACATTGATCATCAAATCGAGGAGGTACCTGAGGAATTTAAATAAATGGGGTAAGAAAAAAACGGGGACAAATCGAATATTATTATTTTATCTTTTTCCCTTATTTATATATATTTTTGTGTACATAATGAATAAAATTATATATAATAAGTAAAATCATCAAATTCAACATATTTAATATATCTTTATTACAAAGATTATGAATATCGGCCCATTAGCCCAAAAAAATCAAACAGATTAAGAAAGTTTTTTACGTTCTAGGCAAAGTGTTATAGACATTCCTAAAAGCAGCTACAAACAACTAATACGCAATTTTTATCAATTTGGCAATATAAATGACTGTATATCACTATATCTTGGAGATTCTGTGTTAAACAGCTCTCAGTCAACGGATTTTGATAACATTGCTGAATATGATGGCCCTTCCGATCTTGAAGATATATGTAAAGATATTGAATTATTGATCAGTTCTCAGTCAACGGATTTTGATAAAAAATTGCTGAATATGATGGTCCTACTGAAATCGAAAATATATTTAAAAGTAAGGAAATGGAAAAATTTTACTCTTTGATGAATAATAATTTGTTTTTTGACGTAACATTAAGTAATATAACACGAAATTATAATTACAATACATGTACAGTTTGACAAATATATTGTGTATTTATTATGTATTTATCAAACATCGACAAGGATATATTTTCGGCTATTTTCCACACTATTAATATCTATTTAAAAAATTTATTACATAATATTATATTTATCATCTCTCAGATATTACATATGATCAGATATTACATGTGATCTGTTATTGATTTCGAAAATAATTTTTTAAAAGAATTCGGTACACTTACATACATATGTACATACATACATATATATATATATATATATATATATATATACATACATATACACATATATATGAGACATATTTTTTTCATACTATTTGTATAGAAAAATTTATTACATAATATTGTATATAACAGATATTACATATGTCATGATTTTTACATCTGTCATTGACTTTGGAAGTAATTTTTTACAAAAAATCAATTATGAATCAAGAATAATTATTTATAATTAGAATTTTAGTTTATTTTCAAGTTATATTTAAGCCTTAATCCCATTATTTTAAGTTAAATCTCTTAATTGTTGTGTATTATAAAACAAAAGAATAATGAAGAATAAAATGAGAAAATAATGAGAAGAAAAGAGTAATTTTATAATTTCTTGTAATTTTTCACGCCGGAAACAATTTTAGCTCTAAAATATTACATTATGTAATAATTTTTCAAAAAATTTAACTTAAAATTAAAAAAAAATATTTTAATGCGATTTTCTATGTCATAACAATGTATAACGTGATAAGAACAAAGTGTTAGTTATTGTCCAAATTAATTATAGCCTTAAAACTTCTTGCCTCTAAAAAAAGTTTGTTGTAAGAATCAAAATTAATAAAATTTTTATGATCAACTGTTTGTTATTCTATAGGTTTATTACACTATAGAAAAATTATAATCGATTGTTTATCCTATGATTCCTCTATTTATATTCCTTACATCAATTTTGAATCAAATGTCAAATTGAATATGCCTCTCGAAAAGATGCTTGGAGAGAAGTTTTAAAATAATATATCTAATCATTCTTTTAAAAATCGAGGAATAAACTTTTAATGAATATAAAGTGATAAGTGAGTCTTCAGAAATTGAATCTTTTTTAAGTTCCTAAGGTATTTATTTTTAAATAAATTATCGTAAATTATAATTATTTTAGTACGAATACGGAAAAGGTGTAAATAAAACAATGATAAAATTTTCAATCCAAAAAATTTTAAAACAGTGACTTATTTGTTAAAACAATTATTCTAGCTATTAATTCAGTGGACATACATAAAGCTTGCTTACAAAAGCTCTGATAATTAATTTATTAAATATAGTAACAAAATATTTTTTTTTAATATTCAATAATTTTATAACATAAGCCGCGTTTGTTTCCAATTCAATGATTTATACATGAACTGTAATAAAAGTAATATGCATTTGAAGCAATTTGGTAAGTAAGAAATAGGTACATATATATATATATATATATATATATATATATATATATATATTACCATATTTCACATATACTTATTATATAAACGTAGTCTTACTAATTAATTTACTTATCAGAATAAACTAACTATTAGAATCTTTCCAAGACGTTCATAATTGTGGATTCGTGTCTTGTTTATATGCTAAATCATTTTGTATTAAGAGTTCTTAAAATTTAAAAATGTTTTCTTAAAATTTTTTTGGTGAATTACATAATCTAAATAACAGTAATAGTGCAAGTTATTTTTTATAACGTGCTATTACGGTATATGTTTGTATATTTTTAAATTTGTTTTATTTGCATCTCTATTTTACTTTTTTATCTCTTCATCTTTTTTGTTATTTTTACTACATTTCTTTATTTTTACTATGTTTTTACTACATTTTAGCGAGAATATCGGTTTTAGGAAACAATTTCCCAATCTCAATTTTTGCTCGCTATTAAAAAAAGTCTTTTGTCAAAAAGATTAAAACAATATCACCAAAATTGGAATGTAAGCTTATAGAGATTACAGTATCCAATAAATATCTGTGATCATAAATTTATGTCACTTTTGATACATATTTTCTGCCCTAAATAAAAACTGTGCAAGCCAGAAAAACGCATACATAGCATAATCATAAAGCGGATACGGATCAACCTTTAAACGGAATGCACATTGCATAATTTGTATAAAGAAAAAGATTGTGTCCCATTTTGGAGATATACATAAAATTGTGCTGGAAGCTATAAAGATAATATTTTTCATTTGCACGAATATATGTTTGCGTCATTTGAAAATTATTCCGCAAATTGTTCGAGAGTCTAGCGGTCTTCGCGAGATAAGGAAAATCACATTCTTCGCGAAGCGCAAAGAAGATCAAGTGCAAAAAAATGCAAGATTAAACGCAGGTTATATGCTGAGTTGTAATAATTAATCAATCTTCTGGAAAAGCGCCTAGAGTTCCCATTCCGTATTAACACAGCTGACACTCCTTCATTATCGTTTTATACGCGAGAAGAGCTTATCAACGGAGAACAATCGAACACGCGATCCGCCAACAAAGTGGCTGCGGACCACCCGCTGTTGTGTTTTGCATTTCTTTCATACATAGACTTAAAAATACACCATTAAAAAACATATCAGCTCTCGCTTTTTCAGCGTGTTAAAAACGTGTCGGTTCAGACATGGTGTGAAATCGCTCATGACCCGTTTGGAAACTAAAATGAATTTGACACGCCTTGCTTATCGAAAGTTTTTGTAGAGCGCTAGCGAGATACATAGATAAAGGCTGAAGGCAGTTTAGTTGAAATATATGCACATTTCGCTACAAAGATACTAGGAATTATATAACTTTGCTTAATTCACTCGCACAATGTATTTTCACAATGTGGAATTTAATGTATGCGGAGCGTGCAAGTGGGTCAATTTGATTACCGATCAATTAGTCACGTAGGGAGGATAGTCAAGAGTATCGAATAGTTAGGTCCATTATGCAAGTGAACCCTGGCAGCCGTGTGAACCGACTCTCTCCCTTCCCGCCCATCGCACCGCCGAGAAGTCCGTCAGTGTTAGGTCAGGATGTAATAGACGGGCCAGTATGCAAATTGGTCGACCCCAGATAGTGTACGGGAAGGGTTAATACTTAGCGAGACGGGAATGACGGGTAGTAAAACGATCGCATTTAACCTGACCGGACCGACTTGACAATCAGCCCCGAACGTTACAAAGACGTCCGATATTAAATCCAACGTGTATATTACACAGTGTAAAACCACAAAGCAATACAACCCCCAATCAAACACGTTAGCTTTTCAAAGGGGTCGCGCAAGATTACCGTGTCGTCGGCAATTATCATAATTGCAGTAATCGCACAACAAAAAGGAAGACGCCAGTCTGACTAAATGGAAGTCGTTTCTAATAATCTTGATTGAAAAGGTAACATGCTGGAAGTAGTAACCCCCGGGGAAGCTCACGTTGAGTCAGATCTGGGCAAGAATAAGCGAACAATTGGGAATTGAAGCTAAACGCTAGACAATTTCGACAATTGGCAAACATGACATTTTCACGCATATTTACTTTAATGTAAATGTACCAACTGATTTTACTCATAAATAAAAATCACTCTCACTAACAGTATATTTTTTCGTCTGTTTCAGGTACGTTAGTCGATATGTTAATCGGACGCACGCTCGGTGAGTGATAAATAAACACGATGATGGAGCATCTCTTTAATCTACGGTTATACCGGCTAAACCGTTTACGAAGAGGCGATTCACTGTTTTCCGTTAACCGAGAAACGGAAAGAAGAAAGAATCGCGTTCCGTAGATAAATTCGACGGGCCGAGTGTTAGCGACCAAACGACCATGTAGTACTTCGATATCCTTGGGAACTCGTTACACGAGGGGGGACGAAAGGGATAAAGAACTCTCGACTCGTAAATTACACTTCAGGAACCATTGCTCCGCGAGCCGAGCGATCTTCGCTCGTTCTTCTTTCGGCGGATCGATAGAATAGGAAAGCGGGGAGGGAGAGAGAGAGAGAGAGAGAGAGAGAGAGAGAGACAGAAACAGTTTTCGCGTCTTATTGTTCGTAATTAGAAGGAGAAGAGAAGAGCTCCCCTTTTAATCGTGACCTCGTTGATAACGTCCACCGGGAGCGTTCGGCAATTTTTATAAGCGCGCTTATATGTATCGTTACGGATCCATCGATAACGAGAATCCGGATTTATGAAACAACGAAAAAACAACGTCATCAATCACCGCCGTCCTTCTTCCGCCCGCCACCGTGTTGCCCCGTCGCCCTGTTACGCGAAACAACTAATGAAAAATGACCTACCGGCAATTATGATGGCCGGCGAGCTGGACAAAGAACGATAGAGAGGAAGGATTGATTGAACGAGGCTAGAGGGATATCGCGAATCGCGAGGTCAGAACCCGAGGGATTGCAGAGTGACGCGAGCTAATCTGTGCGCTTTTATATTTTCGATACTCGATTTTTAAACGTTCCCTCTTTCGCTCATCTATCTGCGGAGTTTATAAAGCTCAATTTTATATTTTCAATATTCAAGATTATATCAATATTCCGCCATAAATGCGGCAACACGCATGTGCACGTATGTATGTACATTAATCGCGAAAGAACGATGACGATCACGTGGCATGCAAAGTTATCCATTTTACGGGTGGTTAACGTGATTATACGCACAATGCGGCTTTTCATCCCCCTCTCGTCCACCCGCCAATTCCAGTCACTCCCACACCCGCGCCTCCTACCCGGTCGACCCTTTAGCATAGACACAGGAACCGACTATCCCGAGGGACAGATGGACGATTCGCCACCGGTCGCTGACCAGTCAGCGTTTCCCACCAACGCTCCATTTTCCACTTGGATATCGCCTAATAATTTCGGGGATTTTCA